CCGAATCCGAAGCGATCCCGCGCGAGGTCCTGGGTTCGCAGGTTCCTTAAGGGTCTGGGGTTTAGGGTGTTTCATAAGGCTTACTTAGGGTTTAGGGTTTAGGGTTTAGGGTTTCGGGTTTAGGGTTTGGGGGTTTGGGGTTTAGGGTTTAGGATTTAGGGTTTCGGATCTGGGGTTTAGGGCGTTGAGAAACGCGTAGGCTTCTTCCAGGGTGTATGGTTGGGGTTCCTTCCTGACAGGTTCAAGATGAATTCAGGCTTTTGCTGCAATGTTTGGGTTTGCGTTCCCAAAACCCTACATGCTCATGCTCAACCCTTACGCCCCTGCACCCTAAAACCCGAAAACCCTAACCCCTAGACCCCAAAACCCTAAAACCCTAAACCCTAACCCCTAAGCCCTAACCCGCTGAAACCCTAACCTATCTCGGTTTGCAAGTTGTTGTGGATGTTGCGGATTAGGGAATAGGGCTCTGGGTTTATGGTTTAGGAGGGGGTTTTCTAACCCGAAGCCCCAAGGATGCTTCGCGTCAGAGGACTTGTACAGGTGGATTTAGGGTTCAGGGTTTATAAGGGTTCAGGGACCCTAAACCCTACCTGGAAAACTTGGTAGCCGCTTATGCTTGGCGTTTTCAATCGTTGACGCTTTTTGGCGGGATTTCAGGCACTGGCTAAAGTGCCTGTTTTTTGGGCTCAGGAGTTTAACATGAAACACATCCCGAAAAGCCCCAAGGGGTAAACAGGAACCACAACCACTTCCAAGAAACTCGCTCACAACTTTAACACTTTGCCCTTTGGCCCCAACAAGTCCCCCATCTCGGAACAAAACCCACCCTGGGGCCACTAAGCCCCTAAACTCCCCAAACCCTAACCCTAAACCCTAACCCCTAAACTCCAAACCCTAAACCCTAAACCCTCATGTGCACCGCCAAGCCAGTAGTCCTTCGGCACTTTCGTGGGGTCGTGCCCGTTCCTTGCGTGGGTGGCTGGGGGAGGGGGACTCTTGCCTTAGGGACCCAATGAACTCTAAAAAAGTTTAGGGTTTAGGGTTTAGGGTTCATATACCTCAAAAGGAGTTATAGTACAGGGTATATGGCCCCAATCTTCGGGTTCCTTTGGTCTCCGAGGTGGTAGCCCAGAAATTTCTGATAGTAAGGGTACCCATATTTTTGGGTTGGTCATTCCCCTCCCCTAATATTGAACCCTCATCTGCTCCCTAATATTACACCCCCCCCCCCCCGTATACTATAATATAACCATAATTGGGGTGTTTAATGTTAGGGGGTAGGGGGGGGGGGTTTGGGGGAGGGGATGACTTTACAAGGGAACCCAGAAGCAAGAAAAGAGTAAAGGGTACCACTGGGCTACCAAGGTGAGGGGATTTGGGGTGGAGGGCTTTGAGGGTTTTCAGGGCTTCTAGGGTTTAGAGGGATCTTTTTTTGGTGGGTGTGGGTTTCGGACTTTTTTTTTTTTTTTTTTTTTGGGGGGGGGGGTACCCTAATCCCTAAACCCTAAACCCTAAACCCTGAACTCTAAGTTGGGTGTAGAGTTTCGTGAACTCTTGTGAGACTCCATTCGGGGCTTCAGGGCTTCAGGGCTCAAAGGAGCCCACAGTCTCATGGCCTGGGGGTTAGGGTTTAGGGCTTAAGGCTTACTTAGGGTTTAGGGTTCAGGGTCCAATTCCTCTGCCCCAGAATCCCACAATACCACATGTTTTGGCTGTGCGGTTTAGGGTTTTGGGTTCAGGCTTCAGGTTGTTTTGGGTTGAGGTTGCAGGGTTTAGGGTTTAGGGTTTAGTGAGTGTGGGGCAGGAACCATTGAGACTTTTTAACCATCTTCGAACTTGTTGCTATGTGAAGGGTTTAGGGTTTATAGGGCTTAGGGTTCAGGAACCCTAAACCCTAAACCCTAAACCATAAACCCTAAACCCTAAACCCTAAATTCAGGGTTTAGGGATCAGGGGTATTAGTTTCCGTTCCGAACACTGCCTCTCATAGCTGGTCGATCTATCACAGGTGGCCTCTGCTCCGCGCAAGCATGAGCATGTGGAAACATTAAGCAGGGCTCAGGGTTCAGGGTTCAGGGTCAGGGTTTAGGGCTTAGGGCTTAGGGTTTAGGATTTAGGGTTTAGGGTTTAGGGTTTAGGGTACTACTACTACTACTACTACTACTACTACTACTACTACTACTACTACTACTACTACTACTACTACTACTACTACTAGTGCAAGGCAAACACTCCATATCCTACAAGTCGCCAGAAACCCATGCACGTCGAAGGAGCTTTGACCACTCGGCGAAAAACATGCCGTGCTTCAGATCCCCTAAAAGGGTCCAGGTGCCTATATAGTATATACTTGGCCCCTAAGGTTACTATATATAGGAACCCCTTGAAGGCCCAAGCACCTACTCTATAGGTACATGGGCCCGTCGGGATCGAAACTGATAAGGCATACACAAGCAAAGAAACTGTGTTAAAGCGCACATTGATACGTCTAAGCCCACCATGCAAACTCCTAGGAGTGCCCAGACTGCAACCCGATGTTGTACACACAACTCTTTCAAGTTTTTGAGTTGGGTGCCCTTTGTCAGCAAGTTCCAAGCCAAGACGGGGTTTTGCTTGCTGGGGTATTGAACAACCTTGATCGGAGAGGCTACTGTGCCTAACGGGACCCAAAACCGTAAACCCTAAACCCTAAACCCAACTCCTGAAGCGAAAGCCTGAATCTAAATCCCTGACAGTACTGGCCAGGTGGATCTTGCACAAGGATAGCCACAAAGCCCTTCGGATAATGATTCCTA